AGGGGATGCTGCGGGGTGCTGCAGCCCTCAGCCTGAGCCGTGGTGCACAGGGGCAGTGCCACGGCATTGTACTTGGTAGTTTCTATTCTCTCTTGCCATCAGTAACCTAAATACTGAGGGCTTTACTGCATTTCCTTGTCGAACAGAGGATTCCAATCCTCTGATCCTTTGATCTATACACTAGCAGACTGCTGCACCACAGCAGTGGGAGCCTGCCCGGCCCCGGCCAGTGCATCCGCAGCCCGTGTGGGACCCGGGCTCCTGAGGAGCAGCCGGGCAGCCTGGCTCAGGCGGCTCAGCAGGGAAGAGGCAGCAAGCATCTCCCAGCGCCCGGAGGGATGGCTTCTTCACCATGGTGCAGAAAGGTTAAAGATCAAGGGCAGAAAACAAGGTCACTACTGAGAGCCTCGAGTCTACCAGGGGATCGGTTTCGACCCTTGCAGCAGGGCAGGGAGGATGTGCTCCACTGCTGGACGAGGGCTCTGCCAGCCACAGCAGTTCCCGCGCTGCCGCCAAGGAGGCTGAGAAGAGTGAGAAGACAAGAATGAAACGCGGCGAGATTTGCGGAAAGAGGCGAAACAGGATCTGTGGCCATCGGGGATGGCCAGACAGCAAGAAAGCCTGCGCCACTGAGCACCGAGGTCGTTTTATGAGGTATTAAGGGGTGACCGAATTAACCTCAAAAGCTAATGGGTCTGCCCTGTCCTCGGGCAGGACACTCGGTGAGAGACGGGCTGGTGCCCTGCGGACACGCACAGGGAAATACACAGCTGGGAAAACCAGAGAACACGAGCAGAGCAGAGCTCAGTGCTGACAGCCTCGCAGCCGAGGTCTGCCTTCTGCCTGGAGACCGACTCTGACATGGGCATGGCTACCGGGCCAGGTACCAGCATTAGCGGAACGGAGCTGCTAACGAGTTACCGATGTTGGAAGAAGCCTTCCAGCGCTTTGCAGATGGTATAGCGCTCGGGTGGAGTCAGCAGGTGCTCCAGCTGCTGGTTGAAGGTCCTTCCTTGAATCTTGATGCTAGAGGGGAGTATCTCTGCAACCCACTGCAGGGAGGTGAGGGCGGAGGAGGTGCTCGGGGAGTCAGCAGAGTCAGAGTCTGCAGGGCGCAGGTAGAAAGAAAAAAGAAAATTCAACACACAAAGGGTCTTAACCTGATGGGTTAAAAGGCCTGTCCCGAAACCAAGGGTCAGTCCTGGGGACAGCCGGGGCAGCTGCACCTGCACACGATGGGTGCTCTGCAGAAATACAAATCCTGATGTGCTGATGCAGACACTGTTACCCCAGCAAAGTCACTGGAAGGCAGCATGGTGACAAGGTGAAATGGCTCATCTGGAGCTGTGACCTCCCCTGCCTTCCTCCCATGCTCTGGACCAGCTGCTCTGGAGCTCGTGGCTGTTCCAGCAGGTCCATGGACCTGCTGGAGGTGAGCAGGGGTGTTTTGACTGGGATGCTCTCTGGGATCTCTCTCTTCAACCATGCTGCTTCCACACTTCCTGTAAGCACATGCAGATGATATTCCTTCTCTAGCTCTCTAAAGCCTCTGCTCAAGTTTCAGAGCACTTTATGATAATCGTTGACTTCAAAAGCAGCATCAGTGAAGGGTTACCTGTGAGTGAACTGAGGCATTTGCTTTGCCACACTCATTTGCACTGGTGCCTGTGCCACAGCCTGGCCGCCTCTGCAGTGAGCAATAAGCAGGGCTGGGAGAGGGACCCAGCCATGTCTGTGGGATGCACTTACCCACGCAGGAATATGGCCAAGGAAGTGGGAGCAAAAAAATTCCATCTTTTCCTGGTTCCTTTTGAGGGGCAGTGAAGGAGTTTGAGTGCCACTGGCTCTGCACTGCGAAGTAGCGAGGTGCTCTGTTTTGTTTCTAGGGCACATGCAAACGAGTTGGTAACACCAGGCTCCTAACATGAAGCTCAGGAGAGTCCACTGCTACTCTGGAGGGAAGAGCCAGTCCCTAATTCCTGGGTCTATGCATTGCAGAGCAGCACCCCAATAACGCACTGACCCTCCTGTCTTCACACAGCTTCGGAAATGCAGCAGTGACCGCCCTGGGCTGCGGTCCTGCCCCTCTGCTGAAATCGTGCTGACAACCACCCGCGTTGCCCCAGATACCCTCATCTCCTGCTGACTCGCTCACCAGCAGCAAGCTAAATTATTCATAACAGCAGCAGTTATTCTGAACAGCACAGTCCATACACAACCGTGGGGTTTGCACAGCGACCATGGATGCACAGGGTTGGATTACTTCTGTCAAGCACACGGCACAGACTGCATGTGAAGGACATTGTCAAGGGCGATCATACAGTAGGATGAACCCTTCTGGAGAGCAGCCAAGCCTGAGATCAAGCCTGATCCCAGAAAGCGAGCAGCCGCGTGCCCCGGCGAGAGGAGCAGCCCTCCAGGCAGCGCGGAGCAGCGTTGGGCTCCAGGCAGCGCGTTAAACCTGCTGAGCCTGCGGGAGGTATTGGGCAACTCCCTCCTGCGCCGGGAATTCGGCAGCTTGCCTGGGCCCTCTCCTGCCCGCGCTCTTACCGTTGGAGAAGTTGACGATCCCCTCTTCCACCACCAAGGTGGGCATCGCCCCGCTGCCCTGCAGCATCGACACCACCTTGTCATGGGAGCAGTTCCTGCGGGGCACAGGAGAGCCCGGGTCAGAGCTGCCAGGCTGCCCGCGCAGGCAGCGCTGCGGGCAGCAGCTCGTGGGAGAGCAGCGGGGAAATGGAGTTTGCAGCTGGCTTCGTTTATCTTGCAAAAAGCCTCACCTTGCTGCTCAGAGCCAGGCAGTGTTGGGCCCCGCTGCAATTGCCCTGGGCTCTCAATCTTTGCTTGGCTTCATCTGTGCGGCTCAGAAAAGAGCCTCCCCGAGGGAGAGCGTGACTGGGCTCTCCGCTGTACCTGCAGCAAGGAATAACCGCAGGACATGCCTGCAAGCACCCTGCGGAGCTGTTACGGCAAATGAAGCCAGCGTTACTTTAAGCTACACTCGGACCCAGAAGATGAACTTTCCATTTAAATGATACAGTGCTGCGGGTCTCTCCTTGCCTGTCCTAATTCTGCATGAAAAGAAAATGCAAGGTGGATGTAAAATGCATTTTTGTAGGCAAAAAAAAAAAAATCTTGGAGTGTCCTTGGAAAAGGGTACAGGTGGGCCTGGGACAACGCCTGCCAAAACGCGGGCTCAGAGGACAATCTTCAACTCTGTCTCCTCTATTTTCTGGCAATGCTGCATCAGCCAACAGTTGCTGGATCAGCTGAAATGTGAGAACCTGAGCACTGACAGAAGCTGCATCGGATGTTTAACCTTTAAATATTTATCACTTATCATGTAGCCTCTTCTAACCCTTTGCTCTTGCTTTTTGTGCAGAAAGACCAACCCAAGGAAATATGGGCTGCTGCCACTGTGCCGGCAAGGTGCACACTGAGCTCTGGTTTGATTGCTTTTGCTGTGTGCAAATAATATACAGAAGAATTAACTTCTGGGTGGAAGTGCAATTGCCCATGTGGTTTTAAACTTATGATCCTGTTCTGGGAGTGATTCATGGGCTGTCTGGTGCTCTGCTCCTTTCAAAAGCAGAACCCCAGGTGTTTAACTCATACAACTTAACTCACAGTGGCTTAAATCAGGGTCTGCGGGTGGGTTGCAGTCAGGACGCCAATTATATGTAGTGTGTCATGCATTATACATGGCTATTTGCACAGAGAAGTCAAAGGAGGAGCAGGGATGGAGCCGAAATACTACTTTTGGAGCCAGTTTTTGTAAAATATTAAAGGAGATGTCCATATGGGGCAAAACCCCTTGTGCACCTCAGTAGACAGCTCTCCAGGTGGCCACTCTTGTTTCTTCTGCGCAAGAGTGAACAAGTGAACACACGTGTGCTCGGCCACCTACCACCCCCCAGGACCTTGGCACAGGTCTTCTAAAGAGCCTCTTACCTCATGTCCAGACCGTTGAGGAATAGGATCCGGTCTCCAGCTTTGAGAGCAGCCTTCTCAGCCGGGCTCCCTAAATGCACAGGGAACGAGAGGGGCTTTAGCTGGCGGACCCCTTCTTACAGGGATGGGGTCCCAGCTCTCCAGCCGCCCTGTGCCCAGGGCAGGGTATCGGCTGCAGCTGGGTTAACTAGTTGGGTGGCCTGGAGCTGTTCACCAGGCACAGTGATGCCAACACCCAGCTTGCATTGGACACGCAGGTGTGATTTCGGGCTATTCACGGAACACAGACATTTTCCACCTTTCAAAACAGGGAGTGCATAAAGCCAAACTAAATTGTACCAAAGATGCTAGTTATTCAACTCAGGAAACTTCATTGCTGAGCCTTGTAAAAGTCCCTTTTGCTATTTTCTAGTAAACAGCGGGCACTTAAAATTTCGAGTTCAGGCCAGAGATAAATAAGCGTCTTTGAATCTTGTGGCTGGAGGTTTTCTTACCTGGCAGAACAGACTCGATCCACACCGGGGCATGGCCACGTAGCGTGAAGCCAAAGCTTCTGTTGCCTTTATAAACTCGCACAGTTCTGCAGGTGAAAAAAGCAAATGTGAAATCAGAGCCCAATATTTGGTTCTTGTCTCCTTTCCCAGCCCCGTCAGCCCGGCTGTCTCCTGAGTGCCCGAGCCCCCGATGCTCCCTGTGTCCCCGCAAGTCCCCTTTGAAACTGAAGTGTCTTTCAAACGGGAGCCCCCGAAACACGCCCTGCCCACAGGGAGAGGGATGGAGGGAAGGTGTGCGCGGGTTGGTGGCCCTGGACGGCCGCAGTGCAGCTGCCTGTCCTGCCAGCACCGCCAGCCTCTCCTGCCTGCAGCCTGCCCGCGCCGGGGAGCAGAGGGAGCCCACGGCGCTGAGCCAGCACAGGGTGCTGGGGTGGGGAGTGATCCGGGGGGTGCTAGAAATGGCCCAGACAAAACCTCGGGGAGAGCTGGGGGGATCCGCATGCTCTGGAGGCAGGAAGAGATGCCGCTGTTTTGGGGGCAGAGCCCTCAGCATGGCCTCCTGCTCTGCATTAATTACCGAATTCATAAAACCACGCTCCAGTCCTTCAAATCCAATGTGTTTTTAAAGTGGAACATGGGATATAGCTTATGTATTACATAGAATAAGAGAGCCAATGTGTTTTAGGAGGCAAAGATCTCGTAGGCTGATGAGAGAGAAATTAAATTCAGCTAGGAAATTCTGGAAGGAGCATTAGGAAACCTCCCTGCTGGGAGGCTGATTGGAGCTGGGAGTTGTTCCCTGCAGGGAGCTGGGGGAAGGCAACATCACTGAGATCAATTACCACCAGAAAACCTGTTGTAGGGACCGATCCTATGCTGGCAGGGAGGGAGACTGTGCTGGAACTAGATTTTGGATAAGTCACACCAAAAATTACCCCGGTGGGAAGGTGTGCTGCAGCCGAACAGCCTGGAGATACCAGCTGGAGGCAGGGGAATAGCTCGGGACGTGCCTGTGACAGCGCAGTCCCTCCCGGGGGGATTCCCCGGCTGTGCTGGCAGACCAGATCCTGCTCTCTTGTTCGTGAGATGGGGCTGGGAACAGAGCAGGAGCCACCGCCGGCGCGGCAGGGCTCCTTGGCCCTCCGGGGCTGCTGAGGTCTGGCCATATGGGCAGCGGGAAGTGGGTTAATCCCTGTGCACCAGGGATTGTCCGTCCTTCCTCCCACGGCCTCGCAGGAGATACCCCCCGGGGCAGGGCAGGGCGATGCAGCCTGCTCTGTGCCCAGGCACCCTGCAGCCCACCCAGCACAAGAGCCGACATCCCCTTGCAGCTGCCAGTGCCGTCCCCGCCAGCCCTGCAACAGCGAGGGGGTAGAAAGGCTGGCCCGGAGCTGGGACAAGGGGTGCAGACGTGCCCAGCCTTTGAGGGAGAGGTCTTTGTTCATCCTCATCCCAGGAGGATTTCACCCACTCTGCACACCGAAGACATCTCCTTTCCTCGTGTCTTCCCCCCTTTCCCTGGCATCCCTCCCCCGTGCTGCCATCCACGCCAAATGGACGCTGCCGCCCTGAACTCAAGGGCGTCCAGGAGAGGTGTTACCTGCGGCCCCCCGTGCCGCCCCCCGCCGCAATGCCGGGCTCGCCCGCCATGAACTCGAGGGCGTCCAGGAGAGGTGTTACCTGCGGGCGGCCCCCGAGGCCACATTGCTGGTGATGAGCGAAGTGGTTTTCCGCAGGCTCTTGCTGACCTCCTCGTGGCTTGACGAGGAGCCGCTCCTGGTGGTCCTCGCTCCGGCTGCGCCGCAGCCGATTGCTGTGCTGCTCGCTCTTGGAGCGGCAGAGCTTGCTGATCAGGCTCTGCGACACCACCTCGTCAAACCGCTGCCGGTGCTTCTTGGGGATGAAAATCCTGGAAAAATGAGACAAGGGAGGGGAGTGAGGAGCGGGGCTGGAGCAGCCATGGCCCGGAGCTCTGCATCCAGCCATACGTGGGAAAGGAAAGGTCAGAGCAGCCCCAGCCCCTCATGTCCTCTCGGCCTCAGTCCCCCCCGGAGCTGCAAATGCCGGGGCTGGGGATGCCAGGGACACCGGCTGCATCTCCTGTCCTGTCCCATGCATGGCTTCATTGGGGCAAGGAGGTCAGACCCCTCCACAGTGCAGTGCTCACAGAGAGTGATTCAAGCAGCTCGGTTCCTCCTCGTGCACCCCATCCCAGACCCCTTCCGCTGCCGGTCCAAGTACACTGAAGACAAGGG